AAAAATATGGGAAGTATCAGATTCAGTTTCATCATAAGAATATTAGTTTACAAAGCTAAGCACAAAAATAGGATGTGTTTACTGGAGGCTGATGATACATTGTGACGTAAAAACTGCTTAGTTACGAACAGTATAGATTTCAAATAATTAGTCTCTAATTTAATGTAAAAATTCCTGTTTATTTATCACATTAGTTTTAGAGGCTTAATAGAATAATATGATGATGATGAAAAGTAAGTCGTAAATATAACACCATTCAATAAAAGATAATTCAGAATGAGTATTTTTGAAAATATCACTTATAAGTTGTTCTAAAATTCCTTGGAGTCGAATGATACCAGATTGAATTAAACTTGTATGACTTCTGGTGTAACAAACTAAGATGTTCAAGGTGACACTTTTCTCTAGTACAACAGAGCGCTGTTTGATGTCAAAAAAGAAACACGGATCCATAGTGAATAAATCTAGGCAAATTAGCTTTCAAAGTTGCGCTACTTGTTTTAATGGCTAAATAGAAAGAAATTTACCTAGAAACCTCAGTCATCATTCAAAATATTGATTTTAGTCTGGTTGCTGTTTATTAGTTGATTTTGAGATGATGGAGAAGATTTGTAACTCAGGTGGATGATTTTGATGGAGTTTTGTTCTCTGAGCTGGATGTTTTGGTCGTGGAGCTTTCATTGTTCTTCTGAACGACATCAGCACAAAATCATCCACCTAAGCTACAAATCTTCTCCACCATCTCAAAATCATATGAGCGTAATACGCTTCTCGTTGTTCGAAAACAGGAGAGTTTCACCAAAAGGTAGGCTTCCACTCGAGAACAACTATATTTTCTCCATGCACAACCGAAACCATCCAGCTCACAGAACAAAACTCCATCAAAATTAGTTGATTTGTTTAGATACTGCAGTGCTACAAGATTCACTTGTGACTTATAACATGAAAGTTCAGTTACACACTCTAATTTCTGAAGAAGCATCAATTTTTTCGGCAATATAGATTCTCCTTGAACATTCAATTCAAATTTTTCTACTGACTTTATCTATCAATCAAATATGTTCAAAATAATGATTCCTCAGTTATGAACAAAAATTACATTTTTTTAAAAACAAAACTAATTAAAGTCTTCTTGTTACAGTTTCTATAAGCCAAGTTCATGATGAAATTTTCACCAATTATTTTATTTTAAATATTTAACATGTAACTTATTCAAAATAATATCAGTTTGTTTAAGTCATGAAACAATTTTTTAATCAATAAATCATATAGAAAGATACTTCTTTTCTTTAATTGATTATTATATAATTACTAATTAAGAATCCAAGCAAAAATAAATGATATTGTTAACTAAAGTCTAAACACTTATAAGAAGTTCAAAGTATTCAATTAACCTATTGATATTCTCGAGTTATATGACACAGTTTTATTCAATCTTTTTATTCTTAAATTCAGATAATTACTTTCAGTTCAGTAGCGATTGAAGTTTTTAATCAGTATTTTTTAATCAGCATGCAACAATTGAACCACACTTGACGTAGAAGATTTGGAAGATATGAAAACCTCTACATATCTGGGCAGCATCATCGATGAACACGGTGGATCTGATGCAGATGTGAAGGCACGGATCGGCAAAGCAAGAGCAGCATATTTACAACTGAAGAACATCTGGAACTCAAAACAACTGTCAACTAACACCAAGGTCAGAATTTTCAATACAAATATCAAGACGGTCCTACTGTATGGTACAAAATCTTGGAGAACTACGAAAGACATCATCCAGAAGATACAGGTGTTTATCAACACCTGTCTACGCAAAATACTTCGGATCCGTTGGCCAGATACTGTCTGCAGCAACCTACTATGGGAGAGAACAAACCAGATTCCAGCTGGGGGAAGAAATCAGGAAGAAGCGGTGGAAGTGGATAGGACACATATTGAAGAAAGCACTGAACTGCGTCACAAGGCATGCCCTCACATGGAATCTTCAAGGTCGAAGGAGAAGTGGAAGATGAAAGAACACATTACGCCGGGAAATGGAGATAGACATGAAATAAATGAACAACGATTGTATAGAACTAGAAAGGAAGACCTGGGACAGAGTGGGTTGGACACTGCTTGTCTACGGAGCATGCTCCATTGGGAGTAACAGACGTAAGTAAATAAGTAAGGAACAGGTAGCCCAGACATTCAAGCAGGTCATCTTGTGCATATGCATATACAGATATCAATTCAAATACATATTTAACCTATTGAAATAAGTAATTTGCGAAATGGAAACTTGGTTTATATATATATATATATATATATATATATATATATATATTCAAAGGTAACACTCAGTTTTGTTGAATATTTGCCAAAAATATTTTACAGTTTCTAAAGTTGCAATTTACTGAGTATTATTATAGATATTTTGAAATAATCGTCTCCCTATTACACTATTACTATTGTTGTTACAACTGCCACACCATTACATTTTGATTAATTGAATTTATGACCTAATTGAAATAAAAAGAAATATCAAACATTTTAAACAATTACATTAAAATAGAAAAGAAAAATAAGGGAAATATGCTCTACTTTTATTAAATTGTTTCAACTTTCAAAATTATTGGTTATCTTTATAACATTTAATTTATATGTCTTCAATAATTTAGGTTATGTATTGTTAATCTAGAAAAGAGGATAATAGTTATTCTGTACTTTTTTTGCCTTTATTGTAAATAATGATATAAGTTGCCATGAGAACCAATGCATATTATTTAATAAATAATAGAATAAATATATTTGGTAATAACAATAATATTACAGTTAATAACGCTTTCCCATCTGTAAAGAAATAACATCCCTTTACAACTATTACAAATAAAAACACTTATAGGATACAATTGTTTATTTTTAAATGCTTTGTAATTACATTTTAACAGAAATGAATTAACAATAAGACTGTTCTCAAAAAATGTAATGAATGCATCTTTTAAACGTTTTGTTTATTAATTCATGTATTGAAATAATCTTTTAATAGGTGACTGAAAGTTTTTTATGTGTAACAAGTTTACAGCACTTAAATCTTGTATAGTTAAATAAAACCAACTTTCCAAGATCCAGAATCACTTTCACAATACTTAGATATCATGCTAGAAAGTTGACAGTTTTTATGAATTAGTGAATCATAAATAATGTTTAAAACTATTGAATACAAAACGGTTGTATTGTTCTAGTTAAAAAAATTATTATCTGTATATCCATGATCTCAAAGATATAAGATCAATTTTAGGAGCAGTAAATGATTTATATTGCTGAGGAGTCTACAAGTGGAATGAAATTATTTTAGTTGTGATTCAAATAATAACTATGGAAAACAAAATCTAGTTTCTGGTCAAAAAAACTGTTTTAACAAAGTTTGCTTGTTAATTTAGAGCGGACTTGTTTAATAGTGAGCACGATACCTAACTCATAATTCGATGATCCCACATTCTCAATATCAGTGGGTTTGTGACATAATGTGATTCACATTTAATATCATATACCACTCTTAATGTGTATGACCCCACAGGGTATAACTTTCATCATAGTTTTCATCAATGGAGTTAATCGAAAATCAAAATATACTTATGTTAATTTCATAGAGATACTGTACAGTTCATCAGTACTATTGTCTGTTCTAGAACCACCAAAAAACATTACTAAGATCTCCATAAAGCCGTCGTAACAATTCATATCCAGACTAGTGCTTTGAAGTTAAAAAGTCTGAGATCTGTGTATTTCCATTTTCTGATGCACTTTTGTACATATCTAGTCTTCTCTTGAATGAATGCATTAAAACTCCCGATATCACTTCTCTGGGTATTTAGTTTCAAAAGTTTAGTACACAATTGGAAAGCCAATACACCGTAAGGATTCTGTTCGCTCTTGATCTTTAGAGCTTTCTGTTGTGTTTTTTTATAAATTGTCTTGACGTAACTAGAATAAAAATAGGATGATATCAGATCCAAACTTATTTTTTTGTATCCCGTATATAGTAATAAAATTAACTTTTAATCTATGATACGATACTGTAAATAGCTCTAACTTTTCAAATTGCTCATTATCAGCCAAGCACCTTCAGAATTTCATAGGTAGTAAATAATTGGTGAACTGTCTTTTGTACAAAAAACCTTTTATATACATTACTTTACATTAACATAGGGAGTGTTTAAATTTTGTTAAGGAATAAAGTCTTTTTATTTTTGAACAGTTCATATGTATAAAAGTAATTTATTAGCGAATAAAGACTGTGTATTTATCATCTTTAATTTACAAAAGATCACTTTACTGATGTCTATCAATTTAATTATAGTCAAATGAAGAATATTTTTGCTTTTATATATAAATCTTAAAATTAGTTTTATCAAACAATCAACTAAACACTGGATATTAGCATTTGTTACACACATAGATTTTAATCTTTAAATGATAGAATTTTAGAGAACTGATATGACGGAATTAAAAAGGTAAAAATTAAATTCTTTTACTCTTTGAAATTTTTATTCAACTTTACTTCCGCACTCAGCTGATGAGTCGCAAATAGGACAAAACGTGAGTCCTGGATTCAACTGCATGCCACTATCCATCTTTGCTTGTAATGCTTGTGAATTTATTATTATTATTGGTGGCTTCACTCAATATTATACATTCGGTACAATATAGAATTCTCAGCTCAAAGTATTTCAACAAGATTCTGTTTCTTTTCTCTTGGTCGATATTAACGATAAACATTGAGTGATCACCAGTTAGATATTAGCAGTTCAGGAATCAACATCTGAATAATATTGATTCTTTTCAATGAATATTCCCAGCAACCATGATGTCTCTGATTGGGCTGTTTTGTAACTTGTACAGCGAATGGTTGTAAAATTTTCACAAACGCACATGAATAGGTTATGCAATTAATTCACATAATGATCTGTTGAAACAAGCAAGGAAACAGACAATTTGTTGAAATATCTAGATGGCAGGAACTGGTAGTCAAGATATTCAAGTAGGCCGCCTTGGTTATTTCTATTAAGACAATATCGAGGCAATGTGCACAGTATGCACTTATGCCAATAACAGACTAATCAATTGCAGTCCTAAATGACAATGGGAAGATACACGTAAAGCAACTCCAAATGAAATAATTGTTATTATTTTATTCTCTATTTAATATTTTTATTTATTTATATTTGAATTGTATTAAAATAAATGTGTGTATCTTATTCTATTGTTCATTAATAATATTCCATGTATAATTAAACTAATATAATAATAAATAATAGAAAAAACAATTAAATTAATTTAATTAATTTGACAAATTTCCTTTTTTTCGTTTTTTTTGTTTGTTTGTTGTTTTCCTTTTCCTTAAAAAAAATACTTCAATGTATCCAATAGATTACTAGTTCATTGTTTGCTTGTTTTTCTTTTTTTTTATTCATTCAGTTATTGGTCAAATTATTGTATAAATAAGTAAAGTATAGTAGTATTATTTTAATTATTGAAATTTATTACAAGTTAGAAATTTTTATATACCCATCCTATTTATTTATCTAAAAATAGAAATGATCCCCTTTTTCAAAATAAAGTTTGATAAAATAAACTAATTTGTATATATATATGTATTCTTTATATAATTTAGTTGCTATGCAAAATTTTATCTTATATTTCTAATAATATTATTTTTAGATGGATTTAACAAGAAGTTCATTATTCATTATCAGTTTATTTATTCATATTGTATATGTTAAATCACAATCAAATTGTACACTAACTAATCTTTTCGACTGTTGCAGTATTGAAGGTAAAAATCAAGCACAAACTTGTAAGTAATTTTGGTTTTTAATATGTGTATTAAGAAAGTTTAGTTTCATATCTCTTTAGTAGTTCTTTCATCTCTATACGTAATATTTTAGATGAATATCTAGTCAAATTTAAAATCGAATAAATTTTTGTGACATAATTTCGACTTATTAAATCATAGATAAATGTTAAGATAATACTATTAGTGTTCATAATATGTAAGATATTTCTCATTGCAAATCAAAAACTTAAAAACATTAAATAGCTACTTTATTCTAGTTTAAAATTCTTTAAATATTTTATCTTTTAAGATGATACTACTTATAAGGTTTCATTAAAATAATAATTTATTCAAAGTCATTTAATAATTATATTTTACAATGAATAATATATTCATCGTATACATTTTAAACAGAGCAAGAATGAAGATTGGTACAAAATATAACATAAATTCATTTTATTTCGTCAGGTTCTCATCAGCTGCTTACAACCTAGAATATTTTAATATCATCGTTATTGCAGATATTGACATACTTATATTACATACGAAGGTGATTAGAGTTGAATATGTGTATTATGATGTAGCAAAGATCCTGATCGAGTTAATAAGGTGATAAAAAGAATCCTCTTTCGAATAAATAAAGTTTGGGAGGGAAAGTTCCAGAACATTAAAATAGTGCTTAGATCTTATGAAATTAATAAACATTTACAGGTTTTGTAATAAGAATTTCTCAACAAGTACATATACAACAGTAATCATTGTGTCATAGTGTAATTTTTATATCTCGTTCTAATCACCCACATATACACAATGATATATAGCAGCAATTACATACAAATCATTTTTACTAGCTATAACAATATCTTATATAAGTTTATCTCCGTATGAAATCAATTTTTAAATTCTATCTGTTTCTTTTATCATTTCCATTCATATTATTCTTTGAAGAAGTGCCTCATGGTAAATTTCAAAACACCAGAATATTATTTTTTCTACAAACAACCTAATCAACACCTTATTTCTTTAATATCATTAAGTTGAATCATAGTAATGATATCTAAATCATTGGTCGCTTTCTTTTATCCCTGTTAAAATATGCTTAAGTTTTATACCTAAAAACTTTATAAATAATAATTACAAAAGTTTCTATAGACTGTATTACTTGAAATAATAATGATAGCGAGTTGAAAAACCGGGATGTTTTAAATTTCTTTATCATATCATTTCATTAATGTTTTCCTTTTTATTCATCAGTTACTGAATGCAAAACTATACCATATTTCAATAACAAACAGTGATTAATTTTTTCGATCTGAAGTTATTAAGCTTAATAGTTTCCCAATTTATCCAATACGGAATTCATTTCATTATTTAAACCTCAAGTAACAAGAATACTTGATGTGAATTCATAAACTTGATTGTTTTAGTATTCCATTGTTTTCTTACATAACTTTTATGTTACAATATTGTCTTGGTGTATATATTTCATCTAATCTCTTCCACTTTTCCATGTTTACATATCTGAAAGAAAACACTGACAGTAAATAATTAAAGTGAGCTTTTCTTTCAATAAATTAAATAAGAAGAAATTTTCAGTTTTATTTATTTTTCATCTGTTTTTTCCTTTACATATTATCATAGTTCTTCAAAGTCAACCTACAGGAATTAATACTCAAAAAGTCGTAGACTACTTTACGGATTTGTGCAAGTTTCGTACGTTGAATGAACAAGCATCATTTATTAAAGCACAATATGATAAATTATCAACCACTGATTTAACTACTATGTTTACTACGCCTAAAACAACACAAAAATCTACTACTACACCTAGAACTACACAGAAACCTACTACAACTACACAGAAACCTATTACAACTAAAACTACAGAGAAACCTACTATTACTATACCTAGAACTACAGAAAAATCTACTAATCAATCAAGTAAACTATTTCAAACACCAATAAGGAATAATACTAAAGCTCCATAAGTGTTTGGAACTTCACTGGGAATAAATTTTGACAATGTCAATAGTAGAACAAAACAAACGGAAAAAAACCCAGTTCATATCTGTAGCAATGTAGACAATTAATTAGTAAATACAAATATATAAATTATATGAATACTTTATTACTTATAAATTTACTAATCAATTTTGTGTTATTACAATATAATGTGTTCCGTTAGAAGAAACTTGATAACTGGCTATTAATATATAAAGTAATACTTAAGGTTAATAGGCTTAACTACTGTTTAGTGCATTATTATATTAAACCAGTAAATTTGATGATAAAATAACATTAATCGACAATATTTCTCCTACATGTTAACGATCAGTAATTAAGCATATATAAATTTACTATGATAGTTTCTGGTTTCATTACCAAGATTTGATTTGATAATTTCGAATAAATTCAGCATTGGGTAGACTGTTATAAATAAATAATATATTTGTAATATCCCAATGAGTAGAAAAATTAGATTTTATGATGTTTCGTGACCTAGGGTAAGTCACTTCTTCAGAGAATAAATAACCAAATTAAAACTAATGATAGTTTCTATCTGCTTGATCAAGTTCAGCTTCTTCATGCTTAGACGAAATTTTCTTCAGATTAAACATAAAATGTAACAAATTTAAAATGTATACCCCATATCATTTAGAAATAAGAATACTTTCAATCCATTTGGATGTATATTTGGAAAAACAACATTCAGTATTTTTCTGTAGATGATGGGTTGTTCCTAAGGAATCTGCTTATAAATGTGTGACTCTTTAGGAGTTTTAGATTTTGGAAATGTCTGTTTCAGATTTAAAAGGAAGAATTATCTTTGACTTGTGACAAGTTGTAGATATATAGTTAATAGTGAATATTTATGAGATTTCAAAGGGTAGGTTAGTACCTGACGAACTTAATAAAAAGGTTAACCGATGAGGATTACCGGTATAGCATAACTAACAGACATAGTTGATTGTGATTACTATCAGTCAATCTTCCAATCATCTACCCTACTGAATCAGATGTCCCTAGGAACACGACTTTTTACTCGATTGTATTCACTGAAACTTAAAGCAAACTTTTACTCAAGTTAAGTTAAAACTGCTTATAAAACTCATATTCAAACATTTACCGAATAATATACATCTTTTTAGTTATTGTTTCGCCGTTTCATTCATTCATTTCACTTATTCTCGTGATAAATCAGCGTTGATATCTATAATGCTTTCCATCATATATTGTTCAAAAAAATTACCTAAAATTATTTTGTGCATATTATTACCACTCTCCTAGTTGAAATAAACCTTTAGACTGTAGATTGTTCAGCAACTTGAATTAAAACAATTACTTGTCACACAATCACTGAATTATGTTGAACACTTATGCAAATAACATAGTACCCAAACGTCTTATGAGCTTCCTCAACTCTAATGCTAGTAAAGTTGGATCATTACAACTCCATAGCTTAGTACCATTTCGTATTGTTAAATATCATCTCTTTCTCAATAGTAATAGTTTTTCCGTAGTGATGTATGGCGAATAGATTTTTTGAATGTTAGTCTTGTCAGTACTTACTGTTAGATTGTTATTATTGGTAAAAGATTGAAGTAAACAAACATTAAAATACTCGCCTAACCAGTACGAACTTCCCTGTGGGCTTTTACAATTTATTTTTTGTAATTACAATTTAGGCGATTACTTAAAATAGGTTTTCATCCGAAAACAGCTAAATATTTTGTTACATCCTTAAAATTTATTGAAACTTCCAAGTCTTGATTATTGTGCTAGTTCATAGCAAGTAAAATGCTTTCAAAATAATTTCGTCCAATTGTTCTCAGTGGTTCCTGGCAATGAATATTTTCTATATATGTTTTATCTTATAACTCACATACACACTTCATACTTTAACGAGCTCCGAAAAATGGTACCTTAAGAAATTTGTCACACTTTTGCAAACTCGTTTTTATCATTCAAGTTTCAACTATAACTTTCCTAAAAGTCATGGCATTACTTCATTTTAGCTATTCATTAACACTTACTTCCCAATCTATGTATCAACTCTCAAACATGAACCGTTGATATAGCTTTTAAGAGGCTGGTTTTTGCAAATATTAACGATACTGCTACCAAGAAGAAAACATTATGTACTTAGATGGAATCGTGTTTGTGTAAGACGACCGAACTTAATGATTGTGATATATAATAGCTGGTTAAGTGTGACGTACGTATAAGTAGCTCAACACATATGATGTGATATGGAGACTGCGATGGTACTTGATTGAGTACCTCTATCTACTTTACTCAATTAAGACAAATAAGGTCAAACCGAAGTGTTAGATACTTATAGAATTACTTATATCATAGGTTCCTAGAAAGCTTGTCTTTCATTGAAGCTAAATCTAACTCAAATCCGGCAAGAGATCGAGTGCTCTAATGCTAATCTAAATGTTTGATTTATTTAATTTACTGAATCTCATTTAAAACTCCGAGTTTCGTAGATATTCTTTTAAAGGAGTCAACTATATAAATTACCACTATAATTTCTGAATTCATTTTAACTGGTAAAATGCTGACATTTGCGTATGTATTAAGTACTTGAACGGGATATGGTTTCCGTCATTTTCAGAAATGTATGATTTGAAATATTATAAATAATTTTCACTCAATAAATTTGAGAGATGGATTCTGGCTCAGTTGTCTAGAGGTTAAGCGTTCGCATGCGATACTGAAGGCCCTGGGATATATTCCCACTAGCGGGATCGTGCATGCGCACTGCTGAGGAGTCCTACAATAGGATGAAATGGCAGTTCAGTGCTTCCAGGTTTTCAATGATGGTCTAACATCAATCGGTTCATGATCTCAATCCGAAATTGGAGAGAATTGAACTCTTTAGCTGGTCATATTTATTCTCGAAGATATGCCATTACATAATTACTACTGTGAAAATTTTATAACTTTTTGATTGATACTAACTACATACAATCGTCTATATTTATTTCAATGAGATCTGTTGAACTTTCTTTGATTTTTTGGGCATTATATAATTGGGACCACTACTTAACAACTTTAGAAGTAAATGAAAGTAGCATAGCAAAAACTGGTTAGTACCTACCTTTGGAGACAATCGAATGTATTTGAACACAAAATTACAGAACATGTTAGTAAAATCTGAGAACCATACAGTAAATACTTAATTTGCGAAATGTCAATCAATCGTTTCAGACTTCATTGGTCTTTCGTTTACACAACAATCATTATTTGCTTACGTTCTTTTTTCTTTTATATTCTTAACCTTTTGCATCCAGGCATTTCACTTTCGAGTGATGATACATAGCACTTGTATCTGCCGATATCTGTAGCACACACTAAACATTTACTAAGAAGAACTGCCTGAATTCCCCATTTCATTTATTAAACATCAATGAATGTAGGTATTAATACAGTATTAATACATTTTTCTAGCCAACAATTTTCTCGACAAAACTTATGAGATTACATTTCATATGGTCATCAAGAAATGTAATCAGTTATGACTACTGGTCATAATAATCATCACAGTTATAGAAGTAAAAATAAAAAATAGTTCACCATATTTATTTGGTGAAATACATGCTACTTTACTTTTATAAGTAGTATAACGCAAAATAGTTCATTTCACCATTCAGAACATTGGAAAAATAAAATTATAGTTGAATGTGACTCTTCGCTAAACAGTACTGTGTTCCAACGTATGCGATAAATAGACAAACTATTTTCATTAAACTGGACTACTTTTATTGAATTCCTTGGATATATTAGTCGATTTGGCTTTTAGATACTTCTTGCATTAAATCTTTTTCCCTAATACCTAAGTACATTTAGATACGAGTTCAAAATTGCATAAAACATCTGAACTAGATACTGTCTACTGATTGGCATCAAATACAAACACTTTTAGATATTCACATATGACAGATCAATGCCTCAGTTTTCAATGACATAGCATTTCAAATATACGTTATCTATAAATTAAAATTTTAATATACCAAACTGAAATTTGATTATTCATATTATTCTTCAAAATTCGTTTGTGAAAGACGAGTTATCTTATTATCTTTCGTACTTCAGTAATTCAGTAAAGGTCATCTGGTTCACAACACTTGATATGCACTATTTACATGCAATATCACACATTGTACCGATTCCAACTGTAAACAGTGGGTGAATACAAGCTTTTAACATAGTTTCCCTTTAACATAATAAATGCATATAAATACAGCTGAGATGCATTATTGTGTGTTGATAATACTTTTATAACTGGTCAATTAAAATCAGCTCAATTTTCATCGTACGCATCTTTTATATGACGAATGTTAATATGAATCATAACACAATACAGATCCACAATACATATTTCATTCTTTTTTCAAATAATGATCTACTCTTTCATAAATTGGGGAAATTATAGTTCTGCTAAAACAATACATTTGTGTTATTACTGATTAACTTTACATGATTTTAATGTAATGGATAAAATTCAGATCATTTTTCTATGTAGTTTAAGGTGCATAAAATGTTTAATAAGTTTACTTTGAGTTTTTCTGTTGTAGACGAATTTCATTAGACAGTAGATTTAATACAGTTACTCAGACGGGCCATATCCGGATGTGATGTATGCTACTTGTGCTGACAGATAAACGTATTGTGTAGCCCTAATAAAAAGTGTAATACCTGGCAGCAGAGCATTGAATTGTAGAGAATAGAAAGAAAATTAGAGAGCAATCAAAATAACAACAGAATTATAAGAATAATGGAGTGTGTAAAGGATAACGTAACGATGATGTGTAAATGATGTATTTAATGTATGATTTTCATATTTTACAAAACCACTGTTTAATTTTGTGTTAAACAATAAATTGGTTTCCCCTACCTGAGTCGTCATTCACTAAAGAGATACTAATAGATAACAATAGAAATAGACACCCGGTTTTACCACATATAAACCTTATATCCTAAATCAACAGATTACTACTAATGTAGGTACAAATCATTCGCATAACAATATAGTGTAAAGTAGATCTTGGCTGAATTTCAAATTACTCCTTTAACTCGTAAATATAAATATTACACTTAAATCTATTAATAAATAGATAGCTCTTATAAGAATCTTGTTTCCTTACACAATCAACTATTTTTTCTTACTGATATACTAAATAAAACAAATATTTGAGTGTAACTTAAAACTTCCGCCTATTTTTTTAATACAAACATGTTAAGATGAAGTCGTCAGTAGTTAGTGTTATTATTAAAAACTATAAGTTATTCTAAAATTAATTTAAGTAACAAAGTTATTAATGGAGTTTTGTTCTCTGAGCTCGACCTCCAACCAATTACCCAAAGGGATGGAGAATAGCTGAGCAGAGTGGAAGAAAATTGGTACACCTATTAATACTGATGCACACGATCAAACCATCCAGTTCAGAGAACAAAACTCCATCAAAATCAACCACCTGAGCTACGAATCTCCACCATCTCAGTAACAAAGTTATATTAGGTGATGAAAAAACTAAAAAAAAAAAAAATGTCACTAAATAAGTGTTTAATCACATTTTTAAAGAACTAAACGTTTTACAAAACCTAAAATGAGATAAGGGTAAACATTTACTGGTATTTACAACAAGCACTATATACTTAGATCATTGAATTGGAATCCAACAAATACTTTCAACGTCAGAAAATTTGTAATACAGTACAATCCTTAATTTATTTTGGTGGCATTGGAATACCTGAATCCAGTTGGATTGTACAAATGATCATTACCGAATGATTGCTATCGTAATATACATATCGCCAGTCCTTGCATATAATCATCGAATTAAATCGCGTTAGTGAATAACGGAATTAAATAAGTCAAATACCAGAATGTATTTTTGAATACGTGTATTTTGTACACTCATCGATCTGGACAGACAATCAGAGGGACAGAGCAAAGAGAAGAGAGTGGAGCGAAATGACTTGCAGTAGAGAAGGTGTATAAGCCAATTCGATTTAATCAGGCGTTAATCGATATTTATAGCCACATAGAAATAACTTACAGACATGTGATGAATAGGATAAGAAGTGCACACATACGCTTACATAAAAACAGTCAAGGTTGATAAGCGAATAGTTAACAAGGTCAAAACGTGACTCAAGAAGAATGATATATCGACTTGTCTGGAAGCTGGAATAAGTTATGTGGGCTTAACACAGCACTACATCATTAATGTAGGTGAGTTGCTATTTCCCTTCCTACTTGATTGACACCGTAGGTTAACGGTTTCCCATCAGATTAACAGGGGAAATAAATTTTACTAGAATGGGTTTTGTGGAGAATTGGTAATTTCAGTAGTTGAAATCATGAATCAATTGAAGCTAGACCACCATGGAAAACCTGGAAGCACTGGACGGCCGTTTCGTCCTAGTATGGGACTCCTCAGCAGTGCGCATCCACGATCCCGCACCCCGCGGGATTCGAACCCAGGTGCTTCCAGGTTTTCCATGGTGGTCTAGCTTCAATTGATTCATGATTTCAACTATTGAAATAAATTTTAACAGCAGTCAATAGTTATTAGGCTAATTGATTTCATCTCAGTTTGTAGCATCACCTGACGTGAACTAAATGACAGTTGGGAATCAGAAAACACTGTACAAATATCCAAGTTTAGTGTACCTACATAACCCAAGATTATTTATTTGATTAGAGGGAACTACGGAATTTGGTTCAGGTATTCTTAATGAGGTTAGGTATAAAAACCAACACACGGACTGGGATTTCACGAAAGTTCCAAATATATTTTTGGTACAGTTCGCTTTCAGTGGAGTTTTCAGGGATAAGAAACGACGAGGTTTATAATCATTAATCCACTCATCTATACACATCAAAATGCATAGACCTTAGTATACACATTATCATACATTTTTAAATATCTGTAACAGGAAACAACCGACAGTAATCCCACCTACAAACAACTTATCTACTGTGTCTATGGAATTTCACTTTCTGATTTAATGAAAAGAATCTATGTTGATGTATTGTATACCGATAGTGTGTACTTCAGCTGAATCGTGAATTGAATAATAAACCTAAACACTATTCTCAAGGAACATGATTGTGTCATTCATAAAAGGATAACTTTTAATCTTAGTAAGCTGTTAAGTTACCTGCTTACTTACGCAAGTTAAACTCTATTACAAAAACTATGACCTATCTCCATCTGATCAGCTTCAATCTGTATAAATAAATTGAATTAAACATATGTCTGTAACGATAATGTGATAAATGATTTGAAATGTCATTAAATTACTTGGTACTGCTATTGTTCTACAAGTTTTGATTCATAAATACTTTGTTTTTGATCGTAGTACAATCCTAGTGATAATGATTTATATCCAGAAACAACTCAAGTAACGTACTTTTAAGAATATATCTAACTGTAAATACTAATTCTGAGATTTTTCTTAAACAACATCAGTGGTAAAACAATTTGTTGTTATTATGAGATGACTAAAGTAGAACTTTCGATCGTGGGTACTTAGTAGATTGTAAAGCTATGAAACATTTTTTCTCACCTTTCTTGATGTTATAGATATGACCTGGCGGTGAATGTCATCAAGGACACAACGTATGTACAGGACACCTTAACAATTCTCTAAAATCAGCAAAAATGAAACATCGTCCACTGCTTTCTACTAAGAACCGTTACAACATAATAAACTTGCTTGATAAAATTTGGTTAGCATCACTGTTGAGTACACATATCTTAGTAAGATTCAGTTCCGCAAATCCCATCACATAGTCCATAGTATTTTTTTACTGAATACGTTTTAATTGCAAGCACGGATAGTTTCAAACAGTGTAACACTTCTAAGCCTCATATTAAAGTATATCACTTTTCAGTTTTGAGATAGTGGAGAAGATTTGTAGCTCAGGTGGATGATTTTGTTCTCTGAGTTGGATGGTTTGGTCGTGGAGCTTTCATTGTTCTTCTGAGCGACATCATCGGCCCAAACTTTTCAGTTTGACGGTGATTTTTCAGATACAAAATAAAAGCTGAAAAACTGAAGAAAAGCAGAACGAATCTGGGTCGCTGTTTCGTGCTAGTTAAATACTCTTCACAGGTACACACTCACAAACTCCACGCAAGATTGAGCCCATAAACTTCATTTATCACTGTGAGCATAATACCATACATGTGCTCAGAATTCAGTGATCCATGCTTTTACGTGCCATATAGTACGAGGTACACTCAATGTTAACGTTGGCTTACTTTACTCCATAGATGATAAATCCTAACTAAAACTCAAAGTTAACCAACATGGAAAAATTATTATTAAGTTGATAAAAAAATTTTCCATCTCATTTATTGATTGAATTGTAGTTTCCAAATTATGGGCGTATCAATTTCTAGACGCTTAATTGTTCTAAACGTCTACTTTCACCCCATTTCGTTAAAGAAACTAAACTTATTTTTCCCATTGGTTTATTCAATATTGACACCACCCTTCAAGATAAAAATAAACAAGTTAACAGTTAAGCTGAAAAGAAACTATTTTTTTATGAAAAGTCAGTAGTAATGATAGTCTCTATGATAGGTTAATTCCATTTTCTACTTACATTTGTTTGATGGGAAAGAAAAATAAATTATCCAATCAAATTAAAGCATTGAATGGTAGAGATTAATGATTAATGAAGGGGGTATTTTTGTTTATTTCTTAATATTACAAAAAGGGGGTTGAAATTGATCATTATCAAATTGGTATTTAAACAAGAGGACATTGATTTTAATACGTTTACTATCTGTCTTGAAATGTTAAACAATTGATACAGTTCAAATTATTTTCTATAATCTATGCAGAAATAATGCCATTTTCAAAATTATTAAAAACACTTCCATTATGTTATCATGGAACAATGAAATCGAAATGTTCTTATAACATGATATGAATTAATTGGATAAATTTACTTGAAAATAATTGTCATTAACAAACAATAATGAATGATTATTCAATAGATGAATTGCCTACAGAAGATAATATTACCAATAATAATCTGATAAAACTACCATCCAATAAATCGTAAGTTACTTAACATAATTCTTTTTTAAGATATATATGTTATGATCAGTTAATCAGAGGTCCCAAGGTTGGGCTAAATAAAGTGTGGGGTTTGGAGTTGGGATAATCAACTTCATTCTGTAAAATAAAGAACATTGTTATAAAAAACTTACTTACTTACTTTCGCCTGTTACTCCTCGTGAAGGAGCATAGGCCGCTCACCAGCATTCTCCATCCAACCCTGTCCTGGGCAATCCTTTCCAGCTCTTTCCAGTTGTTATTTATCCCTTTCATATCCGCTTCTATTTCCCGACGTAATGTGTTCTTTGGCCTTCCTCTTTTCCGCTTCCCTTCAGGATTTCAAGTTAGCGCTTGTCTCGTAATGCAGTTTGATGATTTCCTCAATGTATGTCCTATCCATTTCCACCGTCTTTTCCTAATTTCTTCTTCAGTTGGAAGCTGGTTGGTTCTCTCCCACAAAAGGCTGTTGCCGATGGTATCTGGCCAACGGATGTTGAGTATTTTGCGTAGACAGCTATTGATAAATACTTGTACCTTCTTGATGATGGTTGTTGTAGTTCTCCAAGTCTCAGCTCCGTACAGTAGAACTGCCTTGACGTTCGTATTGAAGATTCTGACTTTGATATTGGTTGAAAGTTGTTTTGACTTCCATATGTTCTTTAATTGAAGGAATGCGGCCCTTGCTTTGCCAATCCTAGCCTTTACGTCTGCATCTGAACCTTCTTGTTTATCGACGATGCTTCCCAGGTATGTGAAGGATTCCACATCTTCCAGAGTTTCGCCATCAAGAATCATTATGAATGATGAATATTCGTTGTTTACAATGGATCGTTACAATAATCTCGGATAGTTTTTCCCGTTGTGCATCAGATATGAACTAGTTATTCAAGTATTCAAGTATACTGACAATTATATTGACATATTTATAAAATGAACCATAAAATGGTTTATTCTCATTAATCACATGATTTTTATCAATCAAAGTATTAAAAGAATATTATAGTAGGAGTTAAATTCTCATAAATGGTCTTTCAGCAGACTGAAATTTCTTCAGATCAACAAATTATTAGTAGTCCATGTAGTCGAATCTGAATATCAGAGTTATATCGTTTTTATTATAATATTAAAGTGGAGAATAAACAAACACCGGCTGATTCCATTATTATATTAGACCATTATTTAAACACAGTAAATGATTTACTTTCGATATGCTGTATAACCGTCGACGAAATTTAAATAGTCCAAATGAAGTAAAAATATTCATTAATAATGAAGTAGTTTATAAAAAGAACTGGCAAAACTCGCTTATTGGTTCAGATGTTGATTAAGTAACTAATGTTGTTGCTTTCTACAAGTTTGGGATTTCATCGATAGTATTTACTCATGACTATTCCATAAATCGGAATCCATATCAGCCGACACGTAACCGTGAAACTGACAGTCTAGGATACAGTGGTATACATTTTCAGGTGATATAGTGCATCGATTGTAAAAAATAACTTCTATAAATTAAACCAGTTCTCATAAAGCTCGTTTTGTTAACGTGTCCATTTAATTAACTACATTTTAGGTGGAGTTTTGTTTTTTGAGCTGGATGGCTTGGTTGTGGATCTTTGATTATTCTTCTGAACAACAATATCAACACGAACATCAAATTTCTACCAGAAGTTTGTGCTAATGATATCGTTTAGAAGTATAATCAAAGATTCATAAACAAACCATCCAGCTCAAAACACAAAACTCCACATAAACCACCAATCTGAGCTACAAATCTTCTCTACCCTCGTAAAATTAACTATACTGTATTTTTTTACGAAAGATATTTAAATTTCAACATTGAGTGGATGGATTCTTTTTTAAAATAAACTATATCTACACCGCAACAGGACGACAGTAAATATCAATACTAGAATACAGGTACATACATATGAAGGGCCCTATATAAACTGTGAGGTGTGTTCTGGATTTCACTTTTACTCACAATCCTAATAAAATAAAACAATCAGGTCTTAAATTACTTTCTTAATTATGATATTGAAGAAAGTTGTATCAATAATTCACGAATACATTATCTTTTGTGGATATTAGTTATTGACGATAATGAATATTTTCGCTTATTATACATGAACTAGATACCGAGTATAATTTCGAATCGAATCATAGACAAAGACTTCTAAGTTTTTTTATATAGATAGAAATCAATTCTACATGTGTGTATTTGTAGGGTTTACTTTACGATTGATGATAATTCACTCTGATTTTATCCAAAACATGTTAAATAAGCGAAAACGTTGATAATGTGCTTAAATACTGGTGATATATTCTAGCCATTTTTCATCCTATAAAATACTTATATCAGTCTGATTGCAATTTCACTTTGATTGGAAATTAATAAATTTAAATGATAATTTAAAACAACTGAATTTTGACATCTTCAATCAGAAAGTTTCGTAGATTAGTTCAAAAGTTGTATTATTGATTCTATCACTTCAACTAATTAGTTTAACAACTTTAAGAGGAGAAAATATATCATTCCTTAAGAACAGTAATCCCTTTCCATCTGATAGCTTAACCATAAAATATAATACAATATGGTAATATGAATTGTTTATTAAATCTTGAATGAAATTATAGCTAAAATACAAATTGTTTCTTTAAATAACTACTTACTTATTTACGCCTATTACTCCTAATGGAGCATAGGCCGCTGACCAGCATTCTCCAAACCACTGTGTCCCAGGTCTTCCTTTCTAGTTCTATACAATCGTTGTTCATTTATTTCATGTCTATCTCCATTTCCCGGCGTAATGTGTTCTTTCATCTTCCACTTCTCCTTCGACCTTGAAGATTCCATGTGAGGGCATGCCTTGTGACGCAGTTCAGTGCTTTCTTCAATATGTGTCCTATCCACTTCCACCGCTTCTTCCTGATTTCTTCCCCCAGCTGGAATCTGGTTTGTTCTCTCCCATAGTAGGTTGCTGCAGACAGTATCTGGCCAACGGATCCGAAGTATTTTGCGTAGACAGGTGTTGATAAACACTTGTTTCTTCTGGATGATGTCTTTCGTAGTTCTCCAAGATTTTGTACCATACAGTAGGACTGTCTTGATATTTGTATTGAAAATTCTGACCTTGGTGTTAGTTGACAGTTGTTTTGAGTTCCAGATGTTCTTCAGTTGTAAATATGCTGCTCTTGCTTTGCCGATCCGTGCCTTCACATCTGCATCAGATCCACCGTGTTCATCGATGATGCTGCCCAGATATGTAGAGGTTTTCATATCTTCCAAATCTTCTACGTCAAGTGTGGTTCAATTGTTGCATGCTGATTAAAAAATACTGATTAAAAACTTCAATCGCTACTGAACTGAAAGTAATCAGTTTGAAAACGGTTTTCCTACCTATGACAGGATATTAGTGATACACATAGAATTATACTCTCCAACTATGAATATTAAAATGTATATAGTTACTATGGTTATGATCTTTATAAAATATTCATAAATGTTTTATCAAGTGTAATAATCATGAGAAATTAGATTTGATTTTTCAGACGGTTGACAAATTGTCATTGATTTCATTAATTTGTCAACAAGTTTTAAATGTAGAGTTTCGAAGATTGAGAATGTGTACTCTTTTTGTTCAGTGACATATATGAAAAAAAAATGTCTGTGATAAAATTGGACGTTTATACATTAATCACCAATTAAAATAAAATTATAATATGATATACTATCTGCCAAACAATTTTAAAATAAAACAAAAAATAGATCGAAGTAACCTGGAATCTGAATTGTCAGCAATAAAATATTCTTAATTGACTACATGTTGTAAACTATACATGTATATATAAATTTATAGAGACAACAGTTTTCTTTTTGATGATTTCCTTAAATAGAGAAAGTTTTCTCCCCTGACTTCTTTTTATTTTGTATTCAGTGACATTATGGATTAGTTTAATTATTTAATGATTACGGCGAAACTACAATTTATGGACGAATCAATCAGGTATAAGATAACAGATCTCGTATTTTGGCGCGAAATTCACTCATCTATTTGATTAAATAGAATTTTGGCATTATAGCTGATGTCAGTTTGTGATGAAAGCCCTAAATCTAATTCTTACCTTAACCATCAACTGTAAATTACAATTCTAATTCCTCACACTGGTTTATAACCCTCGTTTGGTTCTAGTTATTAAGTGGACACCCTCAAGGTTACTTTAGCGTCGCTCAAAGGTCGTCCATAGATTATAGTCTCACCATGATTACTTAATGTGTTTAGTTAGAGTTATAAGGACTGAATTCGAAATATGATATATGGTAGTAGTTTCCTTGAATTTTGGGATTTCCCACTTACTACATCAAACAATTCAATGTAATTTGATGAATTAATTTGCTGGATAATTATTTCATAAATAAATGAAATTAAAGTGTAAAACCAAATAATTTAAAATTGAAATGTACTTTTCTGTTCACCTGATATCGTCTGTTGGGTCTGGTACTATATCGAGCCCACATAGGCTATTCTAGCTTCTAGATAGAACAATCCATTCCTTCTTCTCAAGCCACAATTTTTACCATGTCACTTATTCGTTTATTAATCCTGATTGCTTTTTACATGATCTTATGTGTATTAATCACTTACCCTATTCATCATATGTCTGTAACTTATTTTTGTCTGACTATAAATATCGATTCACGTTTGATTAAATCGAGTTGGCTCTTTCGACTTCTAATCGTTCCCATTGCTGCGTTTTCCTGATTGTCTGTCCAGACCAATGAGTGCACAAAATATATGTGTTCAAACCTCATTTTCGTATTTGACTTATTTAATTCCATTATGCACTAACGCGAGTTAATTCGATTATTTTATGCAAGGATTCGTCCACATGTACATATCAATAACAATCATTCATACAATCCAAATGGAGTCAGATTCAAAGCCACTAAAGTGATGAGCCCGTTGAATACATCATCGTTTGATCTAATTGACTTTTAAATGAAGGGCTACACCGAGTTTGTTTAGGTGAGGTGAAATTCAATGAAGGAACTGGATGAAAAGCAATTAACAAGACGTATTGGTTTTATTCAGATACTTCAAACAAACATTTTTCATGGGATTGAACTCATGCTTTATTATGCATTAAAGTATTTGAGAGATTTAACAGTCAAAATGATTTACAAAGTTCAATTAAAGTAAATAAATACAATATTTTATAAACTTATACAATGTTCAAGGCTAATAGTATATGATGATTATAATCGTTTAAGTTTTAGACTATTTTTATTTCATACAGTCTTACCGAACTACCTCTAATAAAAAATTGATAAAAATATAGTAAATACATTAAGAAATAAATAAATAATATATTTGTAATACCCCGATCTACCCAATGCTCAATTTATTCGAAATTATCAAATCAAATCTTGGTAATGATACCTACATTAAGAAATATTAAGTTTAAAAGTTGTTTCAACATTTTTATATGTAAAGCGATATATGGAAGCGTTTTACTTGTCATTGTCATTAAATTACACTTGTTAGTATCAGTCATTATTTTAAAACCTTTTTATAGATGGTAATTATATTAATTTTTTCCCTGATTTCTTTCGATCATTTTTTGAGCGGTGCATCTTACATTCTTGCTACACTGACTAGTGGAGTCCAATCTAATTCAGGTGTGAGACAGTTATCCACCTCAGACAATCGATGAGGGGTTGCGCAAAATCATGGGTCGACTGAAGTTAGACATTAACAGTTAGATGCCGGCCCAGTAGTCTAGAAGTTAGTCATCGGAGTAGTCCCATACTAGGACGAAACGGTCGTTCAGTTTTTTCAATTTACTAATGGTGGTCTAGCTTAGATTGACTCGTGAATTCAACTGTTAAAAAACAATAAAACAATTCGCACATCTTTCAATTAACAATATAATCGTTCATATTCAAAACAATATTATTTAATTGCAATCAATTCGAGCAATATATTCTGATAAAGTGCATTAATTATGGATAATTTTCTCTGGGTAATATAGAATAATTAGTTTAAATGGTTTTTTAAAAATCAATTATTGGTTATCAGGAACTACATACAGTTGATTGGTAGACACCGTAAACTTTCGAAGAAAAACAAATAGTTATTCGGTTAAAAGGGATTAGTATGAAGGAGTCAATTGGTATGGAAGAAGCATAATCGTGGCGCACATACTGAACTAATATGATAATTAGTGGCCACAATACTAAAGATTCCTGTTTATAATAAGTTAGATTTTTAGGCAAGATGGTCACAAACGATTGTGACTTGGGAGTCTATGTACAAGAATGCGGATAAATATCGGCTGAAGAGACATTTTCTTTTAATATTGATTGTAGTAAGAAATCAGTCAGGAGCGATTTTTTTCTCCTTTTCAAAATTAAAGAGCAGAAAAATAATGCGTTTATTGTATCCAGCTAGTCTACGATAAAATCACTTCAGTATTATTGATTAAATTTCTTTTGAAATCTTATTAGTTTCTACAGGAATTTTTACCTAAAACGCGGAAGCCACGTAGAATGTTTTAAGGAATCGTTTCTAACATTACAGGAGTCCACCAAGAAAAATGCTATAGAATCATAAGGACAAATTTATCTCTCTCTCTCTCTCTGTGGAATTACCATTACAGAGACTAGGAAATTACACTGAACATGTAAAATTATCAGATATCTTGTGATTTTAACCGTTTCATTACTTATTCGTAACCAACTGTTTTCTATTTAGTTACAACCGTTCAACTATCTATCAAGTTCATTTTAATAGTCCTTCAAGTCCTCCCTTATTAATGAACCAAACTGTTAGATCATTTAGATAGTTCATTTCTATATAATAATGATAAATGTGTATTAGCTTTAAATATCATAAATCGTTATATTTGACTTATCTAATTATTTATGTATTTAATCACCATTCGTCGTTTTGTTCATCAGTAAATTATGCTAAAAATAATTTCTACAAGAAGAAAGTAACCAGTACCTTCTTTACTATCCATTCAATCTTTCTTTTCTGTTATAAACTAAATTCTTGTCAGAAAAAAAAATACAAAATTAACAATATTGTTTTAAAGATTTCTCTCATATGAAAGATAATGAGAATAAATAAAACACCTTTATGAAGAAATACCATACATTTCACCAATATAAGGAACTATCACTTGATGTGAAATCAATTTCAAGTTTGCTTGTGTTTTTAAAAAAAATATATTTGAGTAAACAATAAAATTTTTCAGTAGTAAATTATAGTTATAATAAATAATTCTATACAGTTCTAATCAACTACTTAACTAACAATACAAAAACAAACAAACAACCAAATAGCATTTACCTTAGGTGTTTCAACTTGATAAACAAACTAAAGTCAACAACTTGGTTATTCTGTAAAGTTAATATTTATTATTTTAACTGATGTTTATTTATAAAAATCTCCAGTATATATATACGATTTCGTTGTCCCTCATATGTTTACTCATGAACCTACCTACCTGAAGTGAACTTACAAATGTTGCTAGTGTGGCTTTTTTTTCATTTCAATAAAAATAAATGACATTGAACTTCTACCACATAATGTGTTTTTTTCCTCTCTCTCTCTCTCTCGTTCCCTTCTTTTTGTGGTGGGTTTTTTTTCTCAATTGTTCAGTGTGTTATTTTTCATTTCCTGTTGTTATGTGATTTGTGATTAGAAATAACGATGAAACAATTTCCTGTCAATTAACTCTTGAATGAATAACCAGTCATTTAAATATACATAAACCCACATACACGTATGCATAAAATGGCGTGCAAATATACTAGATTTTTCAGCAAAATTAATTCATTAATAAATAATACATAATCTTTGTTTTAAACAAAACTCACGATATATCAGATGGAATAGGTCACAAAAAATGATGTACAGATAAACTGAAGGTAGTAAGTTTTGACAGTTTTAATCATTTAAATATGGTCTTCATTATAACTGACATCGATTTAAGAAATGAAATAATCAAGACTATTGAATAGTCTTCATGACATTCTAACATAGTTAACAGTGTACATGAATGAGCATTTAAAGTTAATAACGTAGAAGATCAACATTTATTTTATGCCAATGTTGTTTAACTTCTAAGTTAGTGCTTCTGTAACTAAATAATTTTAATTTTGAGCGTGAATTTTAGTAGTCATTTCTTTTGCAGTAAATAGTTACTGACCATTGAATAACTAAATAGGTTGGTACTTTCAACATAAGATGATGGTTTTGATAAAGAGACCTTCTTGATTAAATGACTTAATACCTGCTTAATAACCATTAGTGACAATTGAAGGTTGTATATATTAACTGTTTTTTTCTTAAAATACCCATAAAGTTAACGACTATACTCAATTATTTAATTAATTTTGAAATGCACTAGTCAGTCGATAACTATCGGTAGTTTGTAGTCATTCTACGAAATATTCTAGATAAAGATTTTCTATGTGTTAAGGTGAACTGATTGCCTCTATCTTAACTATGACACTTGGGGTTTCAGTTTAATACCATAACTGATGACTGACCTACAATAAGACTTAGTGCACAAGTTATGTAATATTTCACAGTTTACCGAGATCTAAATTGCCACGATCATATAATGGATTGACTGAGACCGTCAGCTGTTGAAAATAAATTAAATAAATAAACTGAGATTAGATAGGACACAGAAAGTATGATGTTATCGACTAAGAATGTTTGTTGAAAAACCAGGGGGCACTAGATGGTGACTCATCAACCTAGACCAACGGTTTATAATTCGATCCCAGATGTGGTCATGGATGGCCACTGCTGAAGAAGAAGAAACGGTTGTTCATTGCTTTTTGGTTTCCAGCTTCGGTTCAACATAGATCATTTTGCGATACAAACTATGAAAATTCTACGATCCCAACAAACTCTCACCCTAAAGCCTATCTTTATAAGTAATAGCTTCATATTTCGGTGAAGCACTGACTTATTCTATGTAAAAATTTTTATCCATAACAATTACAATAATCCTTTTGAAACCACTCATAGTATTCAGTACTAACAATAAAAACGGGCTTTTTTATTTAGAAGCTTTTTATCAAAATTGTGTATAATTTAGAAATAAATTTCCATCATAAACTGATGGAACAATTAAAATGCATAAACTTGTCTCAGCATAATCTGTGAATATAATTCAGGGTGTTCATTTACAAACCAATACGGTATTGAAAGACTTTGGACGTTAGAGAACTCAGTAAGTGATCGATAACCAACTTACAATCATGTCTAAAATCAATGATTTTATTTAGGTAAGGCATTCCAACATAAAATCAAATGGTTATACTGTATCCTCTAGTAATTATTGAAATGATTTTTGTGACAAATAACACTTTCAAATTTTTGCTTCATATATATAAAATCAATTAGTTACTATTTGAAGTCCCCCCCAAATAAATATTTAATAAAAGTTTTTCTTATCTCTTTTTATCCAGTTCATCAGAAAATTTATCTTCACTGTTTCAACATTTTGAACTACCTAAACAAGATTTACTTGATCGTAAAATCAATACAACTAATCAATTATTTACTGCTCCTTTATCCGATCACAATTCAATAAATACAAATATTTCTGAAAGACAAACTGAAATCAATCAACAAAATAATCAGAATATATCTAAATTAGAAGACATTTTATCTGATATTTCATTGTCTACATTTTGGGAACCATTTAAAACTGTTGAAAGAAAAGAAATTGAAATCAAATCTTCCAAAATCGAAAATATAATGTCAAAAAAGGATGAAAATTCAGTTGCCAATTTTAAGGTAGTTATTTTTTTAAATGATAAGTACACTTATATTTTGTGTTAAAAAATGACTTATAGTTTAAGCTAATCTTGAATTTACTTTTTATGTGATGAAAACAAGTTGTTGAAAGATCAAATGATCTGTGAGTTTCAGTCTACCACACTGTGACCAAAGTTTTCATCTATATTTATTCTATGATCTCTGCACTATTTGTGCAATTTATTGCTTAAATAATAGTATCAATAGGTAAGAATCCAGAGAAACTCTTAATTGCAGTGTTCTTAGTTCATTCATAGGCTTAGTTCTAGAAATTAATATCATTTTGATCTGTTTAATGTTACTATGAGTCTTAGTAAACTTGAACTGTAGCTAGAAGAGATTCAAATTCTTACGTGTAATGAGTTATTAAACAATGAAAACTAACTACACTTATTCAATATGTTTCATATTGATGCTTTTACAATAAATCCATTTGCTTATGTTTAAAAGTTTCGTTGTAAAAATGAGACACTGATTAATTACATGAAAATTCTCTTAATGTTTATATTATCAACTAGAATCAATACTTTGCGAATCCATTGGAGTTTCCTGAAACACGTTCAGATTCCATATCTGTCAATAGTTGTTATGACTTACCCTTAACCTGTCTAGTTGACCTTTTATTTTTTATATATAAATGCTCTTAACAAGTATATGTGTGATCAGATTGTTCGAAATGTATTGCGCTAATATATCACATAATTCTGATAAACTTTGTCTTCTCATGGCATTATCGAAATAGTTGTATTATTGCTGAACAAAAACTAATATGTTTTAACGCAAGAAAGATAACATGGGCAACAAACAAGTATTTATTTGACATTAAAACTAGAATTTTTTTAAAGACTAAGTCCGAATTAGATGACTTTTATGTATTTTATCCAACTAATCTTATAAAGAACAATTAAGAGAATTTGGCAGTTTATGTTTTATATTTACACATTAATTCAGTATTGATGAAATACATTGTTTTATAATTAACCTGATATTGTTAGTTAATAAGAAAGGCACCATTATCAAAGCGCATCCACTGCTGAGGGGTCCCACAGTAGGACGAAACAGCCGTCCAGTGCTTCCAGGTTTTCCATGGTGGTCTAGTTTCAACTGATTCATGATTCTAATAATTGAAATTATTTATAATTGTTGTCAACTCAATTTGATAAAATGTCATTCGGTCTTATCTTACTTTTTATTTTATCTTAGCAACTGTATTTCTTATACTAGATTATTTAAATCATACTGAACTTTTAATCTTTTGTTAAGTAAGTAAAAAAGATTAAGTTTTTTGGATTATTTGCTCGTGATAAATTGTCTCTCAATTGTATCACATTAGAAAACAGTAAGATTTAGATTATCAACGGGAAAACTTGTTTTTCATCAAATAAAGATAAGAAAAGAAACAGATTACTAAAATGATTAGTATTAGATTATATTATGGTCTATCACTTAAATATCTTTGTGATAAACAATAAAAATATTGAAGGATCTCATACAAGATATTGCAAGTATTCATGAACTATACACTACTAGCATTTCAATACGTAGTTGGATAACAATATTTATTATGAATTCAAGTCAGATTAAGGATTGCCAAGGCGGTGGAGATTTGTAGCTCCGGTGGATGATTTTGATAGAATTTGGTTTAAGGTCAACAAGAACCAATCAACATCGAGATCTACAGGACAAGCTATGAACCATATATGGAGAAATTTGAACATTTCACTTCTACGTGAAGTTTGTGCTGATGATTGTCGTTCAGAAGGACGATGAAAATTTTATGACCAAATCATCCAGTTCAGAGAACAAAACTCTATCAAAAAAGATTGTCAAATATCAGAAGGCACTTTTCTTTACTACAAACATATTGTGGATCAACTCTAGTAAGCTTAAGTTTAGTGGCACGAAAAATATTTGAATAATTAGGTAAAAGTTATTAATTGTTGATTTTTATTTGAAAATTTCCTTAAATTTGTACACAATTTGTGTTAAATTACACAACATAGTTACAAAGTTTTATCAGCGAAGATGAACAGTGGCTAGCAATGTAATTCAGGACGCGCTTTTCGTCCAACATGGGACTCATCAACTGGATCTGCCTGAATCACGGGGTTGGTGTTCACTCTGGGACTCAAATCCAGTACCGTTCGCTTCAAACACCATGTTATCCGCTTAGCTACTGAGTCCCGATAGTCATCTGCTTGTGCGATGGGGTGAAGATATATCCATTTGGTGTTGTTTACTTGTATCTTCCCATTGTTATTTAGGATTGCAACTGATCAGTCTCTTGTTGGCATATTTGCATCCTGTGCGAACTGCCTCGATATTACTTGAAGTCACAAGCTGTATAAGCAGACATGAACATATGTCAACAAGAAACTGATCAACTACAGTCCTAAATAACAATCAAAAGATACAAGTGTTTTTTAATTGTATCGTTTTGTATTTTAATCAAATACTTGTCATATATATACATATATTTATTCAATAGTTACATCCAATATTTTCGGAAAAATCATGGGCTCGATCATTATATAAAGAAAGTATAAATTGTTATGATGAATATAAAGAGAATCCAGAAAGAATATTAGACGATCATTTTAGTCGGATATGGAAAACACGTGAAGCATGTATGCTTTCAGAAGATCAAGCTGATTTACAAACCGCATTTCAGAAATATTCCAAAAAATGTAATAAAACTCGTAGAAAATGTCATACAAATAAAAATATATATTATGAAGATAATAATAATAATAATTTGAAAGGTAAGTGTAAAGAAATTAAGGAAAATAACTCTATAGATTGGAATTAATAATGCTTGATTAACAAATTGACAATTTATTTTCCCTATAAATACTAAAGTGTTATGTAAATAGAATTCCTCTTTGACAAAAATCCACTTTATACTACAATAATACATCTTTTCGTACTGAGAAGAATTCTCACAAACTGAAGGAAGCGTTATTGAAAAAGAGCAACAAAACAAAAACTTGCCAAAATATGTATTATATTATTACATTTTGAGCCAACAACTTCATATTTTCTAGGAATGTGATTGAGGCTGACTAACTTAGATGTAATCACATTCAGAATCATATCTGTGTGTTGCTGAATTATTATATACAATGAATAAGCTTTCATTTAGTCTCTTGTTCTTTTTTTTGAAAAAAATTAATAATTTAACTCAAGCCAATGCATAATAAACGTGAAAAATGATTTTGTTTGTAATGTTAGATACTTCTTGGTTAATTAAGTAAAATATAGTAGTTTACAAGCACTATAAGGAGGAGAACGAAAAAAGATATATTATATCTTAGTTGCACTACCTATTCAAGACAGATAGTCTAACATTTAACTGGATGATATATAGTATTTAATAGTGAAGTAGTATAGATAACATTACTGAGTATTTTATCATTCATTCATTACTTTTTGTTAAGAAGAAAATAAGCATATAATTTAGCATCAGAAGGGGATTTTCGTGACTACTATAGTAATTTCAATAGTTGAGATCATGAGTCAATTGAAGCTAGATCATCATGGAAAACCTGGAAGCACTGGACGGCCGTTTCGTCCCAGTGCCGGACTCCTCAGCAGTTCGCATCCAGGACCTATCAGTCTCGCGCCAGGCGCTTAACCAACTAGACCACTGAGCCGGCATCCAACGGTGTTGATGTCTAACTTCAACCAATCCACGAAGTTGCGCCACCGTCACCATTGTCTTTAGTGAGCTGATATCTCACAACAGACCTGGTTGAACTCCACTGGTCACGGCTTCTCACTAGAACTCCAGGAAATACATCTTGAAGTCAATCACTAGTGAGCAGATGATTATTATCAGAAAGCGTTTTGTAGAAATTTTAGTAATTTCAATAGTTAAAATCATGAGTCATTTGAAGCCATGATTATTTGAAGTAACTGCTTTTTAATATATTTTAATACTTCCTTCCTTGTTTTTTTTAAAGACTTCAAAAACAATATAAAGTTAAATGGAAAAGATGAATTATCTTATTGGGATTGTAATAACTCTCAATATATCGATAATAATGAAGAGAATGCTGATAGATGGAATTCTAACCAAAAATCAATCAAAAATCATTTTAATTCATCAAAACAACTCCAAATAACTACTTCTTCTTATTCATATGATCATAATAATTATCATATCACTTTACAACAAAAATATTATGTATGTAATATATGTAACAAGCATTACTTTGAACAAAATGATTATCATGATAATTTATTCAGTACAACTGATGAAGAATATAATCCAATATATTCCAATGAAGTTATAACAGATTATATCACTTTCCATACATCTATAGACCTAAGAAGAAATGAGAATTGGAATAAAAGAATAATTAATCACAGGTAAATAACCTAAGTTTACTTCACAGGTTTGTTTTACGATATCATTGCTAAACTCATGAAATTAGTATGTATTCTTCATTTCAAGTTTCATTGTCCTAAGTATATAATAGACTTAATTCTATAAAATAATATATAGGTCATAGAATAGTTTTGATTGTTAACCAAATATCTTTATGACCATTTCTGTAATATACCCTAAGTAATGGGTCTACAGTAAGGTAAACTTTAAACAACTCAATTTATTCGTATTAATTGACAGTTTGGACGTTTCGTCCATTTCTAACATTTAAGTAACACGTAACATGTCAAGTAATCACACATTGTTATGTAGAAAACATTGATTGGTTTTTGATAAAGGAAATGATAATAAATAACGAAGAGATATAATGGTGTGGTGTGGGTTACTTATATCCACACAAGTAGTATATGATGGTGGTCGGGCATAGAATGTATTTCGGTAGGAGGTCGACTAGGAAAAGACGGTAACAGAACGCAATTGGCATAAAAACGTATGAACAATGAAATCTGAGACAATGAATTAATGTTTGCAACAGGAACGGTCAAGTTTGATATGATGGATTGATATTTTGCAAATTAACGACTTACTGTTTGGTTCTCATATTTTATTGAGGTGCTCTATAATTTCGTGTCATGTACATTCGATTGTCCCCACTGTTGTTCTGTTCATTACAAGAGTATTATGAAGTGAACACTATAAAAATGTTTAACATAGATGAGAAGTCTATTTTTCTCAAAATGAGATAGAAAAGGATTTTTCGGAAAGTAATAATCATACTTAAACTATCCAAAACTGTTATGTACCTTAAATGATACTTCTCTATCATACATGATAAATGTGAGTAATACTATTTATGATTCAAAATTAAAAGTGTCCAAATGAATAAGTAAGCTCGTTTTAGGAACATTTTTATCGCGGTAAAAGTTTGAGGTACGAATCTGAATGTTTTGTTCACTTTTAGATCAATAATAACAAGGAAGTACTAGTAGTTCATTTGATCACAGTTTAAAACTCCCTCTTGACTTCTGTAATACACTAAGAAGTATTAGAATTAATTGTTAATTCCTAATGTTAATAAATCTAAAGTTGAGACGAAAGGTTCATACAGTTCCCTCTGGTTTTCAGTGGTTATGTTGCTAAAAATTGGTCGAATATTATAGAATTCTATATACATGTTTATGCAACGCTTGTCCATCAAAATTCTGAATAGATATGGCCAGAATAGAATGTTGATATATTTTTCAATAGTAAATTTAGATTCACTCAAGTGAATAAACAATTCTCAGCAATCTAATCATCGAAAATAAGAGACAAATTCGGATAGTCACTTGAACATGTTTTTTTGCTGTGAATAAAATAATTATTACATTCTCATTGGTTAATGCTTAATTGATAAATTGAGCTTTTCGTAAATCTGTTTCAACATATGATCATTAGTAAGGATTTGAGTTATTCCATTGTTGATGTCCAGAAATGGATTTTAATCAATCCCTATTTCGCATATGTTCATCCTGTTTTGATTGAATCGTTATAGTCATTATTTCGCTTCATTTAGAATAGATGAATCGTAATTAGTAGAAAAATTTAGGACTAACATTTTATTTTATTTGGGATTCATCAGTTAAATATACCTGCATCTCAGTGTTGATGTTCACATTTGAACTAAAATTTAGTAGCCTTTACCTAGAACGCCCAACGCGTATATATAACAAAAACTGGATTCCACTGTAAAAAAAATCTTTCTATTCTAAACAACTTGTCATAATATAGTTTTTAATTACTTACTCCTGTCACCCCTAGTCGAGTATAAGCCGCTGACCAGCATTCTTCAAGCCACTCTACCCTGGGGCTTCCTTTCTAGTTCCATCTAATTATTGTTCACTTTTCTCATATCTATCTTCTTTTTTCAGTGTAATGTGTTCATTGGTCTTCCACTTCTTGTTTGGCCTTGAGGATTCCAAGTGAGGGCTTGACTTGTGACGGAACTGAGTGCTTTCCTCAATGTGTGTTTCATCCACTTTAAGAGCTTCTTCTTGATTTCTTCTAAATGAAGACCTAACTCTCAGGGCAGAGTTTAAATAGCCTGAATTATTCTCTCTAGTTAGCGTTTTTTAGCGAGTTCGTGTTCTCCGGGTAATCCTATGCATAACCCTTCTCCTTTATCAGAGCTTGGGACCGACAGTTGCCTAAAAGGGGCTCTAAGCAGAGTTTAGTTTTTAATTGCATGTTGACAATTCTTTGGTATAAATTTATCCAATCGAAAAGTCTTAACATAAATCAATAAAAATCCAATTTTCATTTTATCTAAACTGATTCATCTACTTAAATTAATCTTTTACATCAAGTTCCGATTAACTGTTTAATATTATAAATTAGATACTGAAGATTGCTGTTCAAATAACAGTAAAAGTGGTTGATAGATCAAATTTTACTCTTATTTTTCATTTACTTCATATTCAATAATCATGACAGTGTAAAGAACATTAATTTACTAACCAAGATTCTATGAATAGTATTGTAATTTCTGTTAATTCATTAAAAATTTATTTAATCATATATACTAACATATAAATTGAATACTAGTTCAAGCGTATCCTTGGAATACAAACTGACCAAATTATTAATATAGACAATAAAAGTATCTTATTAATATTAAGATGGATATGGTTCAATGATCACTTCTTCCACCTCTCCTCCCTCTTCTTCTTCGTCGTCTTCTTCTTCTTTTTCTCTTTCTATACTTACTTCCAACACTTGAATATTTTAGTATCCTTTTTTCAATATTTTTACTATTTTAATTGTGTTTTTTCTTTATTTATTTATCTTTTTTTTTAAAAAAAAGAAAAAGAAAAAAATCTTTATCAGACATTTTAATTTAATCTAATATAAATATGAAAATGTATAATACACATAGATGATTGCTTGATTTATTAAACAACAACAAAAAACCTATTTGACTAAGAAATAATTTCTAATTCAATTATAAAATAAAAAAGAACAGAGAATTAAATAGGAAAATATCAAGTTAACAGTTTTTTTTTCTATCAACTTAGTAACATTCCCATTCAAAAAAAGGAACTACGTGTTTGTTTAAGCGTATTTTTTTTCTCATTTAAAATAACATTCACTTGATTGTCTTTTTTATAGGGTTATTAGAAAGAAAAGAAAAAAAATCTAAGTTATATCCTTTATTATCCACTCATAATACAATGTATCCAACTTATAATTTTTTAAATAGAATCCCATGAGATTTTTTTTTATAGAAAAACAAATTAATTTACTAATGAACTAATTAAATATTTAAAACTGGACATTGAAACTAAGAGATTTATTTTTTATTTTTCTTCTTTTTCTTTTCTCCTTTTTTATCTTTTTTTCTTCTCCTTTGTATGTGGACTTTTAAAATAACACTGATTTCGTTAACCATATTAGTTAGTATAAATGATAGACTTTTGCTTTGTTTTTAATCTGTCATCTCATGTATAGATAAATACTAAATGGTATATTGGTTCTTGAATATTATTTTTTCAAAGTAAAATGTTATTGAAATAATTAAGAATAAATTAGTTTTATTATGCATCACTTTTATACGAATATATATATATATATATATATATATATATATATATATATATATATATATAGTAAAGATAAATCAAGAGTGACTTCTCAGCAGTGCACATCCACGATCCCGCCCCCCCCCCCGTGAGATTCGAACACAGGACTTATTGGTCTGGTGCGTAAGCATTAGTATCAGTAGTTCAGGATGTGTATAAATTTGATTATATTAAATGACCTTTTTACTATCAGACAAGAATGTAATCTTAGACTCATTAAAACAAGAACAACCTATTCTGATAAAATTTGAAATCACTTTTTTTCTTTTTATAAGTCCATTTATAAAAATAATTGTGGTAACAATGTACAATGAATAGTTTGACAATAATTTAGCGCTGAGTATATATAAGTTATTATATGTGAAAATTATACATGAAATAATCTCAGTGATTGAAATTTAAAATAATTACAATGTTTCGTCCGAGAAACTTGTCTAGACTTCTTCGGGTTAATAATCAAAATCAAAATCATCAAAGAAATATATGGCGTTTTAACAATCAAATTAAAGCACAGTACAGATTTAATCTTTGATGATTTTGACTTTGATTATTAACCTGAAGAAGTCTAGAGAAGTTTGCTGAGCGAAACGTTGGAATTATCTTAAGTTTTAATTGCTGAGATTTAATCAAATAGAATTTTCACATATAATGACTTCTCCATACTCAGCATCTAATGATTGTCAAAATATTCTTTCCAATCTTGATGAATAGTTGTATAAAGTAATAATAATAAAATTAGTGATCGATTATAGTAATATATAGATTTACGCACTATTTATCTTCTGATTAGATTCTGAGCTTTAACGTTATCTCATAACCTTTGTTCTGAGAAATTGTCCCTTCTTTTCTAACCATATACATCATAAATTTTATTTATTATTACTATCATTGTTGATATCACAAGTATTTAGAATTCTTTATTAACTTTGTTGTCCTATCCTGATTTGGTTTCATAAATTCGATGGATGTATATGAATAATGACTCGGATGAATCAAAATATTCAAAGAATCAGTATGAACTACCGGTAATGTGAAGTAGAATGCCAAGAATTCCAATTTATACATTTAGGGTGGATGTAAAGAATGAGTTTATTTCAGCTAAATTGGTCATTAATATGTTGCTTAGATAAATATCATCCTAAAATAGATATTAATGAACTGAGAAAGTAAATCTGACATGGTGAATAATTGAATCCATTCAATTATATATATATAATTTGACTATGTAATGAAATTATAATATTAGTCTATGTGAACCTGTTTTAAATATACAATTTATGAGTTCAATTTAAGACTCATAGTTTAGATTCATTTCGGTGATACTATAATTTATGGACGACCTTTAAGTAACATCAAAATGACATTGAGAGTGTCTAACTACTTAATAGGGTTAAATGAAAGTTATAAAGCAGTTTGAAGAATAAAGATTATGATTCACAGTTGATGGTTAAAATTGAGAATTAGATTTATGGTTTTACATCACAAATTTACATCAGCTATAATGCCAAGACGCTGTTTGGCCTAATGGTTGAGTAGATTTTGCGCCAAAATCCAAGACCTGTTATTCCTAAATCTGATTGCTTCGTCCATAAATTAGCTCGCATTGATCTCATCAGAAACTCTAGGTACGATTAATTATTCTGACGATTTTTATAACAGAATCTATGAATTGAAAAAATAAAAACTGTCTGATAGCATTCTTAAATTCTAATAACATATAGTTTTCATTTGTTTCACTGAATTTTCAAGTTGTAGTGTAATCTATTCTGAAACAGCTACCTGTGGTTTATTACCTCTTAATAGTTCTTTAACTCATTAAAAGTTGATTGTAAAACCTATCTTAACAGATTAAACCCTATCTACTATAATAACATTCATTTATCGTTTCATATATTTGAAAGAGCACATTCACAGTGTGGAAATATATCCCAACTATAGGGGAAATATCTTTATTTACTATTTTATATTGGGTGTAGACTGATAACTACATTACTGAAACAAATTTTTAGACAATGGTAATGGTGTTTGTCATTTGGATGACAGGTTTCATAGACTAATAAATCATTCTCAGAATAATTTATATAGGTGTCAGTTTTTAAATACAAGTTTATATATATATATATATATATATATATATATATATATATATATATATATATATATATTAGTGACAGTTAGACTTAAAGCAAAATGTATGATTGACTTAGTCTTGTGTTACCTTGACAGATAAAAATAAACAAATATTTAATTTTCTACCCATGTTCACACAATGAATGGAATTGTTATTCTAACTGAATAATTAGTTAAATTAAATCATCTTAAGTTTTTGTATAAAACTTAGTAGAGAGATTAAATTAGGCCTGAAAATTTTTTTGAATGTAGCTAAAAAAAATGAAGCAAATAGCTAGCAGTTTTCAACGCCAATTTTGAATAAAAATGTTTTTCTTTTTTTTTAAAAATGTGAATGGTAATTAAGGTTAGGTATATGGTTGGTAAGATAAACCATGAAAACTTTAATGTGCACATTAACTAGAAACTATGATATTCAATAATGGCGTCACTAAATTAATATATAAAATAATGGTAAGTGATCAAGCCGGATGTCCTGCTTATTAGGGATAGTAGGAAAAGTGATAAAATCTAACTGAGTCATGATCAGCTTGCAAACTGAAAATACTGATCTCAATTATATATGACCAAACAAAATAGTAAATTTTACAATTTTAGATAGTTCTAAACAATAGACTGGCAGAATCTGTTCACAGTTCAAGCCCTCAAAGGTTGAATTCTTTTTCAAAAGCAGAGATTTAAATGCCTTATTTTAATGGTGGCTAACAGTGGAATTCAGGACGTCAAACGAGACTGATTAACGCCAGTCTCAAACATCAATTGAAAGACTCAAACAACCACTTTAAATGATTTAAAAGCCTTATATTACCAATTGAGATCAAATAGAGTATATTTATATAACTGTCTATGGATTTAACTAGACTGGATTAATCTAATCCATGAGTACAACAATCTGTACATGTTTTGATTACCTAGAAAAGTTCTAAATAATCTTAGCTATCAATTTCATTTTATAATGGATAAACTTTAACTCCACATTTTGTCTATCTCGGTTATCTTGGAAACTTATCGATTTCAACGAATCCAATGACTAAATTTATTTTAAAATTGAATTCGTTTTTATGTTGTTTTTGTTTTATAATAGGCGCCGTTCATATCATAGCTGTTTAGATAAATCAGAGGAATACAATAACAGAATATGTCATAATAATTTCATTCAAACTTCAATCTCATTACACGATGTTACTAATGATAAAGAAGATTTTCTATTGAATAACTTCATAATTAGTATAGTTTATATATCAGAAGATTCATTACCACATATAATTCTATGCGAAAATATTCAATGGACATTGAAACTTTTTAAGAAGAAAGTTATACAAAAACTATATTCGATTAATCAAAAACTTCAAAATGAAATGTATAATGAATTCCAGAATTTGAAGAAACGGTATGATAAAGCATTTTTTTCTAATATATGTAGTTTATATGAGATTTTAATCATGCATACAATTGAGAATTTAAATTTCTAAAAAAAGACCATTTAAGACATGATATTTATGAAAACCAATTAACGTTATGTTTAGTTTTAAAGTCAAAGATTTCGCTAACGAAATATAAAGAGTGTTGCTTACATCTAAATTACCTGATTGTTTATACAAGCTATTTACTAGATAATAAATAATAAATCAACATTCATTTGCTCACTAGTGACTAGCTTCGTGAGAAGCCGTGACTAGTGAAGCTAATCCGTGTCGGGTAGAGACTGGTATCTACCTCAGTACAATCGGAGATGGATTGGTTGAGGTTAGACATTAACACCATTGGATGCCGGCTCAGTGGTCCAGTAACTTAAGCGTTCGCATGCGAAACAGAATGCCCTGGGCTCGAATCCCGCGAGCGGAATCGTGGATGAGCATTGCTGAGGAGTTCCTCACTAAGACGAAACGGCCGTCCAGTGCTTCCAGGTTTTCAGTGGTGGTCTAACATCAGTCGGTTCATGATCTCAATTAAAAACTTAATCATCTCCACAACCCCTATACTGATAATATTGATTTGTCTTGATAACATTTCAGTTTGAAAAATCTCAAGGTAATAAACAACAGAAAACTTTAGAATCCATTATCTCTCTAAAAAGGATAAAACGGTAATTGATTAATTGAATCATTAAAATGCATTATATGAGAACTCAATCAAAGATTCCCTTGTTCTAATGAACAGTCATTCAGTCAGAATTAAATATCTCACTACTGCTTGAATATCTGGGCTACCTGTTCCTGCCATCTGGATATTTCAACAAGTTATCTGTTTTCTTGTTTGTTTTAACACATCATTATGCTTATTAGTCTCATAAGCTATTCAGGTGCGTTTGTGAAAAGTTTACGACATTTCGCTGTACATGTCACAAAAGAGCTCAATCAGAGACATCATGGTTACTGGCAATATGCATCAAAAAGGATATAAATTTATCAGAACCGCTAACATCTCACTGGCGACTACTCAATATTTATGGCGAGGAACTGATCAAGAAATAAGAAAGGGAACTTGTTGAAATACTTTGTGCTGAGAATTCTATATTGTACCAAAAATATAATATTGAATAAAGCCATTAATAATAATAATAATAATAATAATAATAATAAAAGTTTAGTTTGTTTATCAACACAGTACCACTTTTATTTAGTTTCATCTGTGAATTAGCGTTTTACTTATAGATTTAATTGAAGCTACTCACTTTGGTAACATACTATTGAAGAATGGATTTTTTACAACATAATTTCTTCGTAACAACTATCAGTAAGATCAATGGATATCATAAATTTCACAAAAGATCAAATTAACATGAAATTTTATGGTTCATATGATTCTAACCGATTTATCTAAATACTTGTTTCTACTACTACTACGGCTAGTTTGATGCAAATAACTATTCTCAAATCTAAGAGAATTAAAGTTGTCACTTAATTATCTCTTTTACATGAAATAGGTTTATCAGTTCCTAGTGTTTTCATACCTAAAACTTTATTCTGAAAACAATGGTCAGTGTGTCATTAGAATATTGTTTATCAATAATCTCCAGTAAAGAGATACTTATATTAGACAGTACATATTTGTTTACATTGTATTATTTACAATTATTTCTATTTAATGTTTACATTACTGTTGTTCATTTATTTTTACTATAATTTTAGATTTTATTTCAAAACTGAATCCGATGAATTAAATACCAATATGATTTATTATGAAATTATTAATGATACAGAAGTGATACCTCGTTGGAAAGGTTTAATATGGGCTAAAATTGAAATAGATCACAATGAAGTATTCTAAATAGTAAACATTGGTTATCATTCTTGTTAATTCATATGTACATATTTTTAAGATATAAAAAATATATAAATTATTTGTAAGTTATTTTACTCTTGTATGATCTAATATACAGCAACAAGGGTTGGGATGGTTACATGACCGATAATTATATTTCCCAGATTTTATGAATTTTGAAAATCTTGTCGAGACCTCATTGAATTTTCGATGGACAATCATGCTTAATTTGTCTTTAAATTGTGTACTGTACTTAATATATCCATCAGTGCATTTGCTTAATTAAACATTTAACTCACAATTGATTGATCACTGGGTGGTGATCAATGTCATGTGTGTCAAGTCCTTACTAGTGCAGATCGAATGCTATCGACCATGTTGCAATGTGGCAACCAGTCTAGGTGACTCGACACTGCGTGCACTATGTTGAGATTAGATGATGGTTGGAGATAGTCGACATGAAACCATGTACCCGGGATCTGCACCAATAAGGACTTGACACACATGACATTGATCACCACCCAGTGATAAATCAATTGCGATTACATCTCAGTCCTACAGGACGTCGGTCGCGGTCGATAGCTCATGGATAACGTCTCCGAATGTTAAGCTGGATGACGCGGGATCAAATCCGTCGGGAAGCACCAGTTCCTTCAAGATTACGGGTACACCTTGCTGATGAGTGCCGAGTAGCACGAAACCCAGGTTCAGGATTTCCTGTTGACTACCAACATCCAATCTAAACATTTAACTGCTTTTTACGATACATTTTCAATAGTGGAAGTTCAAAGCAATTTTTTTATAACACTAGATAATTAAGACTATCATGGCTGATAAAAAACGATCAAATCTTCCTAAACGTGACAAAAATGTTAAGTCTAGTACTTTGTAATCTTTGTATGATAATACTTCAGTTGTTCTGTAAACACGAGTTTATCAATTTTAAGTGATGAGCGACCCCAACTTCAATGTATAAACATGAATTATTACTTTATTTTAATCAGTATAGAATTGTGGAGATTATCGAGTTCTGACTGAGATCACAAATCGATCAATGTTAGACCCCTATTGAAAACCTAGAAGCACTGAAAGTTTGCTTCATCCTAGTATGAGACTCCTCAGCAGTAGGCATCTACGATCCCGCACGCTAGACTTGAACCCAAGACTTTCTGTTTCGTGCGCTAATGCCTAACCTCTAGACAACTGAGTCGGCCGACACTCAATGGTCTTAATGTTTAATTTCAACCAATCCAAGATATTGCGCAACCATCTTCTACTGTCTTCGGTGAATCGTTTGTTCGGTTGACTGACATTAACACGACTGTGTTCTTTTTCTCTAACCTTAACAATAAATCTCAAGGGTATGGGCATAAATATTTTAAATGCTATCGGAATATGTATTTGATATGTTCAAATGCATAATTTTCTGCGCTTAAATATTTCAAGGTGTATTAAGCTGAGAAACAAATTATCTCAGGCTATAACCACATTCAAACTTTAATCTAAACTAGTAACAGTGTGATTACTAGTGCTTATTGTTATTAGAAAGTTAATAACTCCAGGACTCTTGAACTTTTATATTTAACCTAAAACAATATTAAGCGGTTATATCATCATTAAAATCGTTAATATTAATGGGCATGGGTATGGGTAGTGAAAAAGGGGAATGGCTGAAAAATTGTTAATTGATGCCAGGGAAAGGTTTGAATTGTAAACTTAAACCACAGTTCTTTTAATGTTATCTTGTTTAATCACAATTAAAAATCAAATTTGTAGAGTGATGTCAAGACACAGCCTAGTGGTCGTATGTTTGAATAACCGAATAAATTTTATTTAATAATTAATGATCTCTGTTGATATGAAAATCTATATTACTACCTCAATTTCTTGTCTTTTGACACTTTAAAAACAACATTTTCCAAGAAGTACGACTGTTTATAGACACAATCATACGACACTGAATTAAAGCATTATCATTTTTTTGAGAAGTATGTTGTACTGAACATGGTTTTCATCTAACTATGTAAGGGTTTAACACTGCATAAAAGTCTGTTGTGAACAGACAGAGAACTCTAAAATATTTTTATTAGCTTCACAAAAGATCAGAGATTTATTGGTAAACTTCAAATCCTGAAATTACATTATGTACTTTGTAAGGAAACCATCTTGTTTTTAAGCCAACCGAGTAGGAAACAGATGCTTTTATGATGGTGGAGAAGATTTGCAGCTCATGTGGATGATTTTGATGGAATTTTGTCCTCTGGTCGTGTCGAAGAACAAAACTTCATCAAGATGCTTTCCTGTTTATATCGTGAGGATGTGAGGCCGAATAAACAGTGGTTATGTAAATGCAGATTAGTTAAGAAAGGTCATTTAAAATGTTTTGGTATCATATCAACCAAGATCTGGATCATAGTTCGTCAAATATTGTTTCTAATCGGTAATTTCAGACATCTATAGATGAATGTAATTTGAATGGAACATATAGTATTTCAGTTTGATTCGCACCAAAAAGTGACAATTAATAATAAACATGAACTAATACTGAGTTACATGCACGTTAGTTTCTAATCGACGAGTTAAGCTTATGTACTTCAAAAAATCGAATCACTTTTGCTTCCTTGAAATTACTTGTTACAAATCATATTGTCTAAATAGTTTAACCAAAGACTGTGAGTCCAATTTATATGATTCTGAACATTTATTATCTAAAAGGTTTATACTTCCTCTCTCATTTTTGATTTAATAAATTTAAATCCCTTAGTTAATATTTCCCTCCATTTCTCTCATCAGAATTGCATTTTAATACATACATGTATTTCAGATTTTAACTAGCCATTTATCATTCATCGGTACTCTAATAAACTAATTGTCGTTTCTCAGTTTGCTTATTTATTTCATTCTACAAAACATTTTCGCTATGTAGAAACTTCAGTTAGGGAATTATTAAAGAATTAAGATCACTTTTAAACTGCTTATCAACATACTCCTATCATTCTACACGGTAACGAATTGAAAACCTTTCGACTTCCAAAATAATCATTCTATTCCAAGATCGTTCAGTTAACGGTTTCAAGTTCACTTCATTACAACTCTATGAATTCAAACGAAAAAAATTTTTTTTCATAAACATTTACTTGGAACAACAGTTTTATCAAGAAATCATTTATTCAAAACTAACTTAATAGTAATAAATTAGATTAATTAGTTTTTTTAGGATAATTTATTTAAAATGTCTTACAAGAACCTATATGGTGTATAAGTGTCTGATATATATATATATATATATATATATATATATATATATATATACTATTTTAATTTCATTTCAATGTATAGTTCATTGTTGTTTTTATTATCACCATTTTGTTTATAATATGAACACAAAGGATTCAGAAAAATAACTTTTATCTTTCAAAAAACTTGTTATTTAATGTTAATAATAATAATAAGAAGAAGAAAAAGAATGAAGAAAAAGGCACGTGTTCAACGAGCTGTAACATCAGTAGGTGATGATGATAATGATGATGACAGATGATGGATAAATTCATTTATTTTGTTGGTATCATTTTAAATGAGGTCATATTCTTTTCTATTGTTCCCATGTGATTTCATTTTCTTTAAAAATAATTACAAGTGCCAGACATAAGACATTAAATATAGGATATTCATCTAATGGCGTGTAAGTGTTAATCTTATTTGGCATACATACAATAGAATTATATTTTATATTAAAAAAAAGTATATTGATGAATTGATATATGTAGATTTCGTTTTTAATAATAGACTCCCGCATGCTGTATATGTATATATCTGTGTGTAAAATTCAGTCAAGCCTGTCGATCATTGATGAATTAACTTTTATAATAACCAAATGGCAGCTGTATTTATATTATATTATATTATATATATATATATATATATATATATATATATATATATATATATATATATATATATATATATATATATATATATATATATATATATATATATATATATATATATATATAATTACTATTATTATTATTGAATGTCGTGTAAGAAAAAGGACAGGTGATAAAATTTATTTCTCTGTTCTTCTCAGTTAATTTCAGTAATAGCACCATATTATTAATGAAAAGCAAAACATTCTTAACTTTCAGTGGTATTTTATTCAACATGTTATATTAAAATTATTCCATACTTCAGATGGTGGTGCACGCAATGTCGAGTCATCTAGACTAGTAGCTACATTGTAATTTGGCCGATAGCATTCGATATGCACTAAGAAAGACTTGACACACATGACATTGATCATCACCCAGTGATCAATCAATTGTGATTATTCTGTACTTCATTTCTCTTGTTTAAAAAAAATACATTAAGAAGATAAAAACAATGAGAGACTTAATTTTTAATAAACAGTAACGACAATTGATTTCATAATGTTATTGATCAGGAAATTATTTTATTTAGTGATGAGAATAGAAAGATCATAAGAAGTTTACCGATTGTATTGATATTGTGATTCTGTAAAATAACTTGATCACTTAATGGTATATCATAATCTAATAATCAGAAGAATTTAATTGGTATTGAAATAATGTTAAAGTGTTACGTAATTTGTTTTGATTTTCCATCGAGAAATTTTTTATCAATTGAACATATTCATTAGTGAGAACTGATATTATGGAGAACTACTGAAAATGAAGAAGTATTCAATGCGTATTTCAACTTTGATTCGAAGTCAGCTATTCTATGATGTATTGACTAGGTGAAGATGAATGGTGGGAAATCTTGGGACCTGACTTTTAGTAATTCTGTTAGTAATCTGTAGAGAAATCTTTTTCTCAGAATAATAATCGTTGTTGCACAAGATGATTTGAAGAGATATTACATAGTGTAAATCATTCATAATAGAAAATTGCATTTCTTTACTTTAAAAACAGAGTTGTAGCACTTCGTAAGGATCATTTTCATACGATTATTTTCTAGTATCTTGGTTCTTAATAGACTATAAATGTTTGATTATATTCCCCAGTAGAATGTGTTTACACGCTTAACTAAAATTATTCTCCACCTCTGATGGTCCCAAATGAAAGTATAGA